TATTTAAAAAACTGTTAAGGTACTACATGCTTCTAGAATTATCATATAACACTTTTGTTCTCTATTTTTCTTGATCTTCTGCATTTTTTTTCCTTAGACGAAATCCATGATTTATTTGATAAGCCAGGGGCGCCATGGGGAATCGTATAATATTATGGTATGTTTGAGAGAAGGGGAAAATAAAAAGATCTTAAAAGATATGAAAAGATACTAAAATAAGGTGAGTCATTACAACATGATTAATTAAGTACTATTTTTTTAAATTTTAGAAAATAGATTAATATGAATTTTTAAGCAACTTTCTTTTAGAGTTTTTTTTTATTGTTTAGCACTTCAAAAAACGTACATATGAGCGGAGAACAAGCATCTATAGCATGAAATTATTTTAGAATACTCGGTCCATAATTGTCCACTCATGCCGAACAGAAGCCTGTCCATAATTAATTTATATAAAGACATAACAGCATCTATAGCATGAAATTAATTTTATTAAATTTATCATAGAATACTCGGTATATTTTAAAATGCACTTATTTGATTTTACATTTTCTATAAACTTATTAGGGTGTGTTCTTTGTCACCTCTTCCCAACTTCTACTCTCTATTTTTCATGGTACACTTTCCAAAATGCTAAATGATGTGTTTTTTCAAAAAAAAAGAAAGTTGTTTATAAATATCATATTAATCTATTTTTTAAGTTTATTTTAGCTAAAGCTTAATTAATCATACTCTAGGATCATGCCTTAGAGTATATTGTGACAAAAGTACCCATACACTAATCTAGCTACGAATTTAAGATTGTGTCATGAAACTACACAATTAATATCAAATTTATCATAAAAGTATATACCACAAAATTAGTCATGCGGTTATCAAACAACTACATTAAAAGCTTCAAGAAAATATTCATCCCATTTTAATGAAAGGGAGACAGTGAATCATATTTTTTTCAATGTTAGAAAGCTGTAGTTTTTGATAAAAGATGTAAATATATCGAAAATTAGTAGTTTTAGGATACATTGAGCAAAACATACATAGCCTAGCGCGATTTACTTAACTTATTACAGACATTATATTTATGCATATATGTTTGATAACTTGTGTCCTATTAAAAATTTAGTGTAGATAATAAGTCATTTTTCAAGTGATAAAACAATCAAGTCGTGACAAAAGTAAATAATATTTACGTCAAATTTTGAAACAAGATAATTATAAAAATGCAATAGATATGTTTAAAAACTACTACCTCCATATTTCAATGTATGACGCCATTAACTTTTTGTCTAACATTTGACCATTCGTCTTATTTAAAAAGTTATGTAATTATTATTTATTTTATTATGACTTGATTCGTTATCAAATGTTCTTTAAGCATGACATAAATATTTTTATATTTGCACAAAAATTTTGAATAAAACGAATGGTCAAATATTGGTTGAAAAATCAACGGCGTCATACATTCAAATACGGAGGGAGTAGTAGCGTTATTATATTATTTGAAGACGGAGAGAGCATAGCAAATTAAGAAAATACCGTCGCTAGCTTCTCGGCGTGAAGTACGGTGTCTCTGGGTGACGGGGTTTTAATTGCTGCGGCAGCGAAGGCTCAAACAAAGAACAAAAACTACTTGAAGTTGTAGTGGTAGAACGAGGCTGAAGTTGCCACGTAGGAGTACAGAAAGTCAGGAGTGGGGCCCACCGGAATAATCTGTCTCGTCACTAGAATGTTGTTTGGAGAAAAATAACTGAGGAAGATAGCACTAGTATTTACTTAGCTTATCTTAAATATGTTAAATGTTACTTCCCTAACTCTAATTATAAGACCTGTATTTTTTTACACGGTCTTCAATAACGACCACTATTTTATTTTATTCTATAATCCTAACAAATATGAAATTAGCATCACATGAAAATACTTTAAAATATAAATATAATGATATAACATGCATAACACTTAGTATATATATATAGTTAGTATGATTATTAGTCAAAAAATATCGAGTTTGATTTTTCTTAAAAATAGGGCGCCCTATAATTTAGGACGTACTAAGTATTACCAGTAGTATTATTACTTCTGTTTGATTATGTCGTTGATCTCTTTTCACATGTTTGACAATTCATCATATTTAAAAACTTTTTTATAATTATAATTTATTTTCTTATAAGTTATTTTATAATTTAAAGTATTTTAAGAATAAAACAAATTGTCAAACATGTGTTTAAAAGTCAACGGCATCATCTATTAAAAACGGATGGTTATATATATATGTTAATGATTGGAGGTCGTATTTGGTTTGGTATATGATTCCTTAGAATAAATACACACGGAAGTCATGGCTACCTAATAATCTGGTACGAGCTGAGTAATAGTACAAAGTTATATATCATATGGTAGTTTAGGTTATCCGGTAGTTATACAAACTAACATGATACTAAATTTAATGAAATTAAGAATGTGTTGGTTTCCAATTTTTTTTAGCGTGTGTAAGGAGCAGGTGTATGTGTATGGTATTATATATATACAGTGGTGTATGTATGTTTTTTTTAATGAATCAGCGAGCCGTTAATTTTATTTAATATAGAAGGAGTAAACTGTAAAAATAAAAAGCTGTATATACACAGGACCTTAGGTCCAGCCTAGCTAAAAATTAAAAATTAAGCCAATCGCTGAGACTCAGTGTATGTATGTTTAATGTACGGCTAGTAAGAAATAGAAAAGCTGGTACATATTTATACATACTATAGTGTCAGTATGGAATGAACCATTTGAGATGTCAAATCGTCTCATATGGTTATACGGAATTTTAGAAAAACACCGTTTAACGCACAAGCATCCGTCCAGCTCGGTCCTGTTCCGGCGGTCCGGCAGGATTCAACCGATTCTTTTGCCAAAAGAGAGTATATAATCTGTAACTTGTATTGTATTTGGATCACAATCTGCATTCATAATATCGTTGTAATTAGTCTCTAATTTGTGTTGTGAACATTTTCTCGATTGTTGCTGGGTGAACCCATTTTTTCCGAAGGAAGATCGCCGGCTGATTTTATTAACGAAAAACAAATGGATAGCACTCCACTGCTTCAATTTTAGGTGGAGCTAAAATTATTTGATTGGGCTCGAGCTGCAACCATGCGAAACATACCCTACAACAACTATAGCAACTACTTTCTGTCTTAAATAAGTTTATTTTTTTACCTATTCCACACATATTAATAAAAAATAGAAAAATAGAATACATCCACTTTATCCAATACCAATATAGTTATTCCTCAGTTTATATATTGCTAATACATTTACTCCTATTTTCATAAACTCAGATATATAATTATTGAAAATTGAATTTAATTTGAGATAAATGGGAGGAAAAAAATGAATTTATTTTAAACGGAAGGAGTAAAAATGAAAATATGGGATACCAAAAAAGAAATACAAGGAGTAACTTAGTATTTATGATAGTATAAATAATTTTAAACTAATTAAAGATGCACGAATTATACTCGTGGATATCATAATTTGAAAACTAGTGATGAAGCCGTGTATCTACTGCTCCACACCGCACATTGATGGTGCTTCCTCGTAAACTTCGACACGAATATTAGGGAATGACGTAATATCAAATAATTAGAAAGAGTGAGGCTTTAAACCCAGGTCATCTAGTCCACCACATTGTGAAGCTAGCTGGAAAATCCCTAGGAGTTTCTCAGTTCCTCGTAAACTTAGTACTGAATACCGAAGTTAATAAGAAAGAACTGATTATGTTTCTTTCTAGAACTAGAATGTTAAAGCTGAAGCGAAATGAGCGTAGTTCAACTGGTTAGATTTTATACGGTGGAACAAATCCATCTAGATTTAAGTTCTAGATTTGATACGGGTGTTCACATTTATAGTTAATTATTCTTTCAGTGATATGCAGTATACCTATCGACAGCGAGATGTCCGTGTGAGCGTGTCAAGGGAGCAACGCGAATCGAGCACCATGATGGTTGTTCTTGCCATCTGTGTTTATCTTTGTTATGGGTTAGCAATTAGAACTACTCACTTCGTTCCAAAATATAAAAACCTAGGACCGAGTGTGACATTTCCTAGTGCTGTACAGATTCGTAGTACTAGGAAATATCACATCCGGTCGTAGGTTCTTATATTTTGGAATGGCTGTCCAGATTCATAGAATTAGGAAATGTCACATCCGGTCCTATGTTCTTATATTTTGGAACAAAGTGAGTATTTGTTTGGGATGCTTAGGGTCATGATCCATGAGTTGGACAATTAGGGCTTGTTTGGCACAGCTCCAGATCCACCTCTTCTGGAACTGGAGCTCAGCCTAACAATTTTAGCTTCACCTAAAATGGGAGCAGAGCTGGGTAGAGCTCTCTCACAAAATGAACTAGAGAGGTAGAGCTGGGTTTAGGCAACTCCACAACTCCATTCCAGACCCAACTCCTGGAGCTAAATTTAGGAGTTGGGACTCTACCAAACAGGCCCTAAATATACCCATTCATCAATTTAACCAATACACCAGATATATTTCATGTCTGGTGTTTTGGTTAAATTGATCACTTTGGCTACTCATCAATCGACAACCCCTTCTCCGATGAGGTGCGGAATAAAGTAGAGTTAAGAGTGGGAGTACAAGAAGGAAAAGGAAACTTATCAAGCCAAGCCTTGGAGGGAGGCCTTGAAAGCAGATCCAATACGCTTCATGTGCAACTTCTGACAAAAAGAGAAAACACTCTAATACAACAAATGCAATAAGATATTGATTATAAAAATAATCATCAAACTTCAACAGGAGACTACCCTTCACCTTCTTCCTCTACTACATTGGCTGAATTCGCCTTCTTCCTATATTCCAGTTGCCAAATATGGGCTCCCCATAATATAGGCTCACAGCGAGACAGTGTGAGAGCCCAAATTTATAGAAATCGAGCTTGCACTAGAGAGAAAGGGCCTCACGATATCAGCTCATATGGAGGTGGCACGTAATAGATCAAGTTCTTCATAGTCCGAGGCTCCGATGTGTATGGCTATAACCATTGTGGTCCGCTCCATATCCCTTGTTCTCCATTGTTCCTCACAGGATCAGGGGTGGAGAGTGAAGAGAGAGCAGAACGAGTATTATTTCTCGTCGCATCGGATCACAATGGTTAATCTAATTCCTGCAAAAAGAAAAAGATTTACTATTTTTTATGCTAAATTCTTCTGAAATTCATACCTCTGCATTCAAAAGAGCCTTCAACGGACGAACGTGAGTTCCCTCAATCAGAATCAGCGGCTGAGATCTCTGCCAGCCGTCCACTCCATGTTCCACCACCTCCGCCGCCGCCTCCTCTGCACCGCGGCGGCGCCGCCGATCCGCGTGGCGCTGACGGAGTCCTCCGGCCGAGGGGTCTTCGCCACCCGCCCCATCTCCGCCGGCGAGGTCCTCCACTCCGCGCAGCCCCTCGTCTCCCACCCTTCCCCTCCCCTCATCCACGAGGTGAGTTGCTCCGCTTTACTCGCCTCTTTGCCGCCGGCCACCGCGGCTGGAAACTCTACCTTCTCCTTTTACGGACGGAGCGAAATGGTTCGGATTGGGCTCCTCAGGTGTGCTACAGCTGCCTCAGGAGGAAGTCCGGGAGCGGCGGCGGCTCGAGCGGGAGCTGCTACTTCTGCAGCGACGCGTGCAGGGAGCACGCCAAGGTGAGGCCTTAACACCATTGATTTATGTACTAGTAGTATAATGACTTGTGATGCTACAAAATTTTCAAGATTCAGTGGATGTTAGTGTACTGTTCTTTTGTCATTTGCTCATTTCCAAGTTATTACGATGCTGTATCAAGATCCAGTAGGTGTTTTGCAACAAAATGTGAATGGTAGCCTTCCATGGTCAGAGCACATGAATGGCCAAAGGCTTGCAATCTTTCACAATAATGTTCCTTGAGGAAATTACATGTTTATTTGTCCTCCCTTCGACAAGAAGATATATCTGCAGAGGGCAACCGAGGATGGTGTTGTCTAACAAGGTGTGTGATTTTTTGGCCAATTTAGGGATTCCATGGCGTTGAAAAGAAAGCGGATTGGTCTTTGTTTGATGACCACTGCAGGTATGTCTCTGTCCCCTTGTGTAGATGTGTGCATCCTGACCTCCGCATTGCATCTATGCTCATGCTCTTGGGTTTTATTTTTACTTGTTAATGCCATGGCGATGCTATTTTGTTAAGCACGCAATTGTCTTGGTGGCTTTTGACTTGAATTTATACTTTGCTTTTCTTCCTGAAGTTCACGCGGTCTAAAGTACCCGTACATGGCAAAGCGACTAGCTTGCATGGTTATCTCAGGAGCTGTTAGTGCAGACTGTCTTGACATACTCCAGCCAGCCCGTTTGCACCAGGGGACACTTACAGAGGTAGCTGCTTTATTTCAGAACTATTGTTAATTTCAGAACATAATCTTTTCAACTAATTCATGTCCTGTAATGTTATTTGTCTGGTGCTTACTTGAACAATGTAATAATATAGATGGAGGAAGAGTTTGCGTTGTTGGATTCCACTTTTAGGAAGGCAGGGTTTCAGGAAGAAATCACAACTTGTATCCTTCATTTTTCTCACTTGTGTTATTTATGGCCAAGCAGTGTTGAACACTAATACTGATAAAGATACGTAATAGAATGGATCGAATGCATATTTCAATCTCGCCCAACTTATCTTTTCTTATCTATTTTTCTTTGACAAATTAGTTTTGACCAAAGAGTGGTACATCAATGTGCTGGCAAGGATACGCATAAATGCATTCCGCATTGAACTGGTTGCAAGTTCATATGAGAACCTTCTATCCTCAGCAGTAGCCTCAGTATCTTGTGATGCGGCAGTTGGCAATGCTGTCTATATGCTTCCCTCTTTCTATAACCATGACTGTGGTATGTCTTTTGACCTTGCGCTGTTGAACTAAAGCAATATTTAACTTCCTTTTGCCTACGGAATATTTAAACAGTGTGTCTTGCCATGAGATACAAGAATTTGTTATTGCCTTTTTGTTGTGATGCAGTAAATGGTGACTGTTATTTCTAAATTCTTCATTAGCATATGTTTATATCTAGTATTGACTGATTGGTTTACCGAAATTATTCTCGTCGACTTAATATCATCGAGTTTTGTGGAACCTTTTGGTTATTAATCACTTTAGATAATTAGAAAACAAAAGTCGTTTCATTCCGAGTAATTTTTTTTTACTTGGATCAATATTATCGCGCTTATTTTTCTTTGAAATTTGAGACCCAATCACTCACCATCTCCCATTATTAACTTTCAGATCCAAATACTCACATAGTTTGGTTGGCCAGCGCAGACGCGAGATTAAAGGCCCTCCGCAACATCGAAGAAGGTACGTAAATCTGCGGTGCGCTGGCCCAGTTATTCTATCACCAGCCATTGAGCGCAGTTGAACAGAAAGACAAACACACCGATGGCTGCCAAAATTGTTGATACTGTGGATGTTGCATCTGCTATATACTACAGGTGAAGAGCTGCGCATCTGCTACATTGACGCGAGCATGGACGTCGATGCCCGTCAGAGGATTCTCGCCGAAGGATTTGGCTTCGAATGCCGCTGCCAACGGTGCTTGTCTGGAGATTAAAACACCATCCCTTTTTCGTTGTATTTTCCATCCTTTTGGCATGCACATTGAAGCCAACCGAGGTTAATTACCATTGTAAACTTTTCAAAGATCAGTTGAAGCCAGGAGTCACCAATGTAACTGCCAGGTGCTCCTGTTTGGAAGATTTGTAACGTGTTGGTGTGTGTGTGTCGACAAGAGTACGAATACTGAATGTTGTTGATTATTACCCCGATGTTTAAGCATTAGACTTTTGGACATTATTAGACATTTGTTTGACATGTTACTGCCATGCCAATAACATTGGTGTTTACAGAATGTCTTGTTGTATGCTGCAACTTTAATTTATGGATAAGAGGGTATTTGTTCTATTTTCTTGATGCAATCTCCCTAGTGTTGCAGTTCATCTGTACCACTGTACAACGCGTCATGCATAGACATCCAGTCCTATCTATAACATTGAAGATTACTGATGTGCAACATTTCATGCCAAAATAAATAGCAGATCTGGCACTCTAGCGCATCCACAAGAAAGCATGATGTTGTGTCCATATGATTGTTCATGTTATTACCACTTAGCACTATCTGTCAAATTAGAACCCAAAATACTGCCCACAATCTGTTTTGTCAGGTTTTGCATAAGCGGAAGAAATAGCTTATATCAAAGACACTCTAACCTTATAGTATTTGCAACCGAGAGATCAGCTTGTCTGTCATTAATGATAGAAGGTCCAAGCACATCAGTTACAAAACCAGCCAATACATAACTCAAGCAGCTTATACCAAAATGGAATTTTGATATCTGTCAACACAATGCCACCTAAACATGGCTTGGGAAGGGTGGGTAAGAGACTGAATCGTATGCAATGCGTTGCATCCTGGATGACAGCACCATTCTCACAATGATCAATGAGGGGCATAAGTTTCACATTTTTTTTGGGCATCGGCATTCTCATGCTATCGCTGGCCAGTTTAGTTACCAAAGGGATCCAACAAAATTTTACTGACCAGCACTCACTATTGCGGTCTTAGAGAAACAAAAGAAACAAAACAATACAAATTACAACAGATAATTTAAAGGAAATAATCAGGTGTTCTCCGTGTCACATCTGGTTCACCTCTCCTAGGAGCTGGTTCAAACTGCAAGAATAATCCAAGTTGAATCCCAGGGAATTATTTTTACAACTTTTACAGTTACAGCACAGCAAAAGAGAATTGATCCAACAACATTACTAATCTGTTTTTAAATCAGTTGGTATTTACAATTTACCATACCTGTATAATGTGTAAGCTACATGTAGTTGGCTAATAATATCATAAGTAAAACAAAACTTGGCATAATAGGAAAAGGGGATCAGAAAGAATAAATTGGTATGCACCTGAATAAATGTGTGATTCCTGCAGTCATCAACCTCCAGGATGGATGCCATGTTGCCACAGCGATAACAATAATTAGGTGCACTGAATATGGTCACGACCTTTTGTTCCTGTGCGTGGTGAAGAATAAATAAGACAATGCTAGTTCGGTAGCAAAATCAACAACAAAATTAAATCTAGAAAAATGAGAAAATTCCCTATGTACCCACGAAAGTTCACCTAATCCCTTATATGCCCCTGAATTTTGCTCATTCCCTTATGTACCCCTGAATTTTAGTTTGGATCCCTTCTACGCCCGGTCAACTAGCGGAAAGGGCATGGAAGAGATCAAAACTAAAATTCATGGGTATGCAAGGGAATGAGCAAAATTCAAGGGCGTAGAAGGGATTAGGTGAAATTTCAGGGGTACACAAGAAATTCTCTCTTAAATCTATGCTAAGCAACTTACGTGCGCCCAGTTATATCCTTCCATAACTAATTGATGAGCCCGGGCTACAAGTTTGAGATTATTGGTATGGTTAAACTGCTCCGATATGTCCTGAAAAATTGAATGTGTACGGTTGAGAACAGAACAGATAGTCTATTAATAGATGAAAGAAAATTAATGGAAAATAGAGTATTTAGTACCTGGCCAAAAGTGTAGCCAGCACCACGAGGAGATATGCCCCAACCGCATCGATCATCCGGGTCAGACCATAGAAGATCACACATTGGTCCCTCATGAGGGACCTCTTGAACACGATCTAAGCTGCGAACACTATCAAGATTGTCGATTGATGGCGATAAACCACCATGGAGGCAGAAAATCTCTGATTCAACCTTCAACCAAGACAATAATTTAACATCAATAAAATTTTCTGAACAAATAAAAAATGATTTCTAAACTTCTGAGCGAGAACAGAAACATCAACTGGTTATTAAGAGGAAACACCAAGTTAAAATTCTACAGGCCAATCAACAGGTAAAAAATGATAGATCAAATAAAGAATTTCAACTGGTCTTGCACATATATTATCAACTCCAGGAAACAAAAGGAACAGGAAAGAACCAACAATTATGGCTGCATAAACACTTGGTTGCCTACAGTTGTTACAGCAATTTTGGTTTTCAGGAAGAGGAAAAGCTTAATCAGTAATTAAGGCAGTGACACAAGGGATGCCAGCATTATTGACCCCCTTGGAGACAAAACTCATTCAAGAAACAATCCAAAAATTATCTACAAGCACCAGAAACTAATCAGTCCAAAGAGGACACACGTTTAGACTACTGAGGCCAGATTTTATTTTAGAGAGTAGTGGTTGCCAAAAGTTGATAAAGTAGCACATGCATAGATGATAATAAGTGGGTTTCATCTGAGACTAACTTAATCTGGTATTGGCTTCAGATTTTCGTATAGAACATTGAGCAATGTTCATACAGAATGTCAATTTTAAAAGAACAATAGAAAAAAAAATCATAGAAGGAAGAGGACTACAAGTTGAGCACGCACCAATGCTGTCAATGGAAAATAGTCAAAAAGATCGGTGAAGATCTTCCAGACATTTGCACTTCCATACCTAATCAAAAAGCAGAACAAGATCAATCAATAAAAAAAATCAAGCTTGTCCACTTTGTATTCACAAGTCAATACTACAAAAATCAACTTAGATAGACTAGAGTTTTCCAAACTATTAACTTTGGCATAGATACAGAATAAGTAGACTTTCAAGCACCTAAACTGACTCACTTTCGTAGGCATTCGTCGTAGAATCCATACACCTGTGTGATCTGCAATTATTGAAGATTTCAAGACAGTTTAAACAAAGATGGAATGAAGAGCAAACATCATCTAGATGAGTCCAAATGAAGAAATGGTTTAAGAAGAAAGGTTGCATTTTAGAATGAGAAGGTTTCTGTTTTAAATTTATTTGAGGGCGGGAAAAGAAAACAAACAATAGAATCATCTCATGGGCATGATGAAATCTACATACCTGCCGACTCTCATGGTTTCCACGAAGGATTGTAATCCGCTGTGGGTAGCGCACCTTCAGTGCAACCAAAAGCTGGGCAATGGTACCACATCATGTCAACAAGTAATACAAAAGAAATTAGGCTTCAATACCATTAACTTAAACACAAATATTGCCGATACATCTGCTAGGTTTGAAACAAAGAGCTGCCAAACCATGATGCACATGGTAAAACATGGTAGGGCCAAACGTCGTAAACAAACAAACCATAAGCATGACATTGTTGAACTTCAATTAAAATTTCAGCAAACAAAATCAAAACTCAGGAGACTTACTGTAACAGTCTCAACAGAATAGTAGCCACGATCTACATAATCTCCCATAAACAAATAATTTGTATCTGGACACTGGTAAACAGTACAAAACAAATGTCAGCTTTTAAAGCATGAAACAAAGACCAAAGAGAGCAGAAAGAAACAAAACTAATGCCAATGGATTGAGTACCTTCCCACCAATCCGAAAGAGCTCTACTAGATCATGGAATTGCCCATGGATATCACCACAAATTGTGACTGGGCTCTTAACTGGCTGTATGTAAAGTAAACAAATGGTTATAGTCATATCTTATATTTTCCTAGACCTTATAACATAAAGGCATACCTAATATGTTGACATTGGGTAAAATATTTGTGCCCCCTCAACATGCATAGTTACAAGTACAGAACATCACCATGCTTGTCTTAGTCGCATATACATAAAAGATTGTTCTTTGTGGTGCAATCAATGATTAATTAGTTGTGCTGACAAAAAATAAGGAATACCAGACATAAGTCACCCTTTTGGTTGTAGCTATACACATTTAAATTGCTAGAGATGAAAACAAAATGTGAGCGGCTATGCTATGTCCAGACTGAAGCTATAAGGTTCTCTGTAATTTTAATAAGAAAATTATCTTATTATGTAGGTTTCCATTGAAGCTCGAAGAAATAAAAAAGGTGAGCAAGTACAGAAGGAAAACATCGCAGTTTTGGGTATATGAGCGTGCTGGCTGGAGGGGTGAAACATATCCTTGTTGTAAACACCCTAGAGTTGTGATGGGCTTGAAAGTCACTCACCCTAATTTCAGATCTTCCCCCACATTTTTCACTAGATATCTTCCCAATACCCACCAGCATACAGAATGTGCTGACGGTAACAATATAATCCGCAGATGGAAGATACCTTCATACCAATCCCACTCAGATACTTCCTCCGTTTCATATTATAAGACTTTCTAGCATTGCCCACATTCATATAGATGTTAATAAATCTAGGCACACATATATATCTAGATTCATTAACATCTATATGAATGTGGGCAATGCTAGAAAATCTTATAACCTGAAACGGAGGTAGTAATAAATAAAAAAAATATCAACTTCTTGCATGGGAAAAGCATGATACCGCAAAAAACCATTATTTTTCATGTCCATATCGAGCTAGATCCTCTCACAATAAAAACTGAAATGAGCATGCCAACTACAAACAGCACAGTCACCATATCGCTGGTGTTACTCGGGCTGATTAGAGCCACACACACAGTCACCATTTTTATCAGAAGCAACCGGCAATCAATACTTTCAGCCCAGCACGCATACCATCATCATACTGCAGGGCATGGCATAATCGCAGGAGAGCTCCACCGTACCTGAACGTTGCTTTCTTCCATCAATATCTCCTTCGCCTTCTCGCACAACGTCTTGACCTGAAAGCGGGCCTTGGTTAGTTAGTACCAGAGGCAAAAGACTCACGGATTCCAGTACATTTCCATTGGTCAACCCAAGGCATGACGCATGTCACCGAATTTTTTTTTAAAAAAGAAAGAAAACAGAAGCATCGCATATATCCAAAAACAAAGGAAAAAAGCAAGCGGATTTAAGCGACACAGGCGCATATGTCTCCCGCCCGAGAGAGATTCGATTCGGCATCTGATGCAAAAGCTCACATCGACGTATCCCAAATCCCCCCGATCCGGCCATTACTCCTCCATTTATTCCTTCTCCTCCTCCCCCCGCAATAATTCCTAGATTCCGCCTGAGATCTACCGAACCCGAACCGCAAAACCGAGATAACCCTAGCAGCCGCCTCCGCGGAGAAGCTGAAACCCATAGGGCGGATCCGGCACCAGAGAGGAAGCCGTGGCGTGGCGGCGCTCACCTCGGGCTCGGAGAGCGGGCGGCACTCCATGAGCTGCTCGATCTGGGCGTCCAGGCCGCCGCCGCCGCCGCCGCGCGAGCCCACGGACTCCTCCATCCTTCCTCCCACCTCCTCCGCCGCAGACAAGAGGGGCACCTGGTCTAACCCTAGCCGGGGGAGAGCTCGTCGCCGGCGAGGGGGAGGCGAGCTGGAGAGAGAGAGAGAGGAGAGAGATTGAGATGCGGTTGGGGGGCGCGAGGGGGAGGGAGATGGTGCAAGGGCAGGGCAGGCAGCCAAATGCGGGGGGAAGCGATCGAGCCGGGGGGGTCGGGGGTGGGGCCCGCGTGTCAGTGTCGCGGGGGGGGGGCAGAGGAATGCGGTTGGATTGGAACTGGAGAAGTGGAAGAGAGAGCGGAAAAATTTTTATGTGGGGCCCACTTGTCAGTCAGAGGGAGGAACTTTTATGTGGGACCCACTTGTCAGTCGGAGGGAGGGAATTTTGTGTGGGCCCTACTTTTCAGTCGGGGAGAGAGAGGAGGAGATGAGGGCGTTCAGGCGTGGGCCTGGTGTGTGCCCGGCAATGAATACTGCCCCCAGTGCGCACTCCATTTTATATTACAAGTTGTTTGGATTTTTTCTTAATCAGTTTATTGAGAGATATACTAATAATTGTAATATAAAATAAACATATTATTAAAATATATTCAATGTTAAATTTAATAAAACTAAATGTTATATATGTTGCTAATTTTTTTATATAAACTTTGTTAAACCTAAAGAACTTTAACTAAGAAAAAAAATCAAACAATTTATAATATGAAACAAATTTAGTACTTAAAAAAAATGAAGATTGGTGGTGGTGATTTTAACCTTGACAGACAAACTTAATTCTACCCTATACGATCGCAAGATCCAACGGCCAAATCGTTACCTTCGCACTACTTTTCATAAGCTCATTCAGAATGCACCTAGGTGACATTTAGTCTCATCGAGGAGATTTCACTCCACGTAGGCAACTGGCGTAAGCTCCCAAGAAGAACCTCATCTCCCTACGAGAGAGAGGAAGAAGGAGCCAGTGAAAGTGCCACGGACAACGAGATTGTCGCCACTGAGCTCCATATCCATCGTTGCCGAGCTCCAAGTTTGTCGCCACCGAGCTCCATGTCTACTACCGCCACCTTGATATGCACCTGCTCCGAAAGGGTGGCTCAATCTGCCCTATCCAAGCAACGAGGAGGGGGACGACGGCCGTACTGGAGAGTGGGGAGGCTTCCTTGCTTCGGAGAGCCCGAAGAGGCAATAGGCGGTGGCAGCCGGAGTTGGAGGCGAGTTGGGGGAGGGAGAGGCGTTGACGAGAGGAAGGAGGGGTGAGGTGGCGCCGGCGAAAGGTGGAAGGGAGAGACGATGCTGGCACCGCCACTGGTGAGGAGGCGAGGGGAGAGGGATCGGGTGGGAATTGGCTGAGGAGCGAGGAGGGCATGACGCATGAGTGGGGATAGGGTGAGATTTTATATTATTTCTAGATTTTAGGGTGTTTAGTGCAAAATGTTGGATCACTACATAAATTAATAATAGAAGGTGCTGAAATGCAAAATATATGTGGGGTGCTCTAATGGACACTCGGTCAACGGGGTCAAGGCCTCAGTGGATACTCGGTAATTCTATTTAGGGCTTGTTTCGAATTAACAAAGGGAATAAACGAGTAATTTCAATTTAGGAAAAAGTCCTATAAGACCCTTTAAGAATAAAGGATTGGATCTGTAAAATTGCTATGAAATTCCGATGGAATGGCAATGTTTTATGCGAATTTTGTAGAATTCTTAGCATAAGCATTGACCTCTTGAAATTTTCCTTTTGTGTTTATCACTCTTTTCCAAATCATATGGGTTGCATGTGCTGCATCTAAACAGTTCCTTATGTAGTTTTTCCAGTGTTTTTCATTTCTTGGATTCAAGGTGACATGACATTTTAATCATACATCTTTTCTATTCACATGTTTTAAAAATTGTGAGTTCCAAAGTCCTCTAACTTAATTTCTAAAGAAGTGAACCCGCGAATTATTGAACACGCACTACACTATAACATAGATATAGAAGCACTCGGTCTAGCGGGATAAACAACTATTAGTCTGTTGGGAAAGACCTTTACCGACACTAATTCTGCCACGAGTGTCTACCAGGGGTTTAGCAGTTGACAAAAGTTTTTACATATATTTTTCACCGGTAGAAGAGTGCCAACAATTCTTTTGTTTTTGTGCCGACAGACCATGTATTAATGGCAAACAAACTATTCCTAGTAGATTGTCTACCAGCTTAGGGCATCAACAATGTTGTTCAAAACCAGTCCATAGTCAATAAAATAATCTATTCAGCTACCTAACCACATTGTGGAAGTAGTCAATAGGAGGGAAATAGCAAAAGCTGCCCATAGCACTATGGCTAGGCAAGAAGACCATAAAAAAACATAGTTGTACAGTGGTACTGTTCATAAAATATTAAACAAAACAAGTTGTAACCGTTGGCTTCTGGCCGTTGGCTTCCTGAATTGTGCCTACAAAAACTGAAACAGCATACATACACCCCTGAACATTGTGCCTACAAAAACTGAAGCAACATACACCATCTCCATTCATCAATTTGCTAGAACACAACTAGTTCCAATGGATCCCTCCCATAGAAGCATCTCAAGTTTCACAAATCAAGACTCCCCAAGCCAATACTCTGAGAGTAGTGACCATATCTCACCTCCTACACCCCAATCTCAGTTTCTCTTTGCATCACCAAATTATCTGCAAAACTTCAACCCTTTTGGTCCTCCAATAAATCAGCCACCCTTTGGTCACTCTCCTCCAAGATTTCAAGGCGTTCAACACCAAGGGAGCTGGCTGCCACATACTCCATCAAGCTATCAATGATTTCATTTACAAGAGAGTTTTGGTTCCTTACCAACTATGCAGTTTGGAGCTGCAGCCAACAGGCCACCATATGTGCTGCAATTTAGCTCTGCAGTTGGTGCTGCAGCCAATACTTCTTCCCATGGATCCGAGTCTAGTTCTCCATGCCCTGCAAGACAAAAAGAGAAACAACATGTCACAATTGAAGAGTCAAGCAGCAGTAGTGAAGAAGAACCAAAGAGGCTGTTGGCGATATGGCATGAGGCCCTTCGACCAAAATCTGCCGAAAGCTATGCGAAGAGTGGGGATTCAAGCCCGAGACGTCAAAGTTAGTCGGGGCGAAGTCCCCCTATGGCGAAGACTACGGAACAAGGACGGCGAGAAGCAAGGGATCACGCGGGTACTTTGCCAAGCCAGAGGCCTCTTGGGCGAAGGATGCAGGGCGAAGAGTATATGCCGAAGGGGGACGGACTTTGCCAAAGCAAGCTCGCCCCCGCAAGGGCCGAAGAAGCCTTTCCGGTCCATCAAGCCTAGGGGCTATTGGGCCGACGATCGCCCGACGACCCATCAGGGGCCCATGAACCTCAATTATACTATGTACCCATGTAAATGTCCCTTTCATAGGGGTAACCATGTAAATTCCCCTGTATAACCAAAACCCTAGTAGTAAGAACCTGTAATACGGGCTATAAATAGTCTCATAGGGCCATGTAATAGGGGGATCCCAAGAAAAATTCTCAAATTAATACGCTTTACTTCTTTTCCAACCACTGTTGAGTAACCACGACTTTCGACGTATGCGGTTGTCGTTTCGACAACAGCTGGCGCCGACCGTGGGGACCTCCGAGCGAAACCACTGAGGGCGAATGCCACCAAAGAAGGTTGTGAAGGAGAAGGTTACAAGGCGAAAGGAAAGCGACGCCGGGGCGGATATAGCCGCCGAAGAGGGAGCAGAGCCTTCGGCGTCCATTGCCGAAGATGGAGGAGCGCCATCTGGTTCTGCACCTGCGCCATCTCTACCGCCTTCGGCCCCTGCCACCTCTGTGCAGGTGCCGAACGCGGCTGACATGGCGAAGGCGGCGGCGGCGGCGGCGGCAAGGGCACTCCAGACCAGGGCGGAGATCCTTTCGACAAGCCAACTGCTGGTGCCCCAAGCCGCTCCGTCGCAGCCGGCAGCGGCCCCAACTGCGCTCACTCCTGTGCAAGCCCAAGTCAACCCTAACCCTGAAACACAAACCGAAGCCGACATGGAAGCCATGCAACAAAACATGACGGGACTCCAAGACATGCTTCGCCAAATGTAAGAACAACAGTAAGCATACGAGGCGGCAAGACAGTCCAAGGTCGCTTCGGCTCCAATCCTCCAGTATTCAGCAGGCTATATCCCACAAGTCTATCCACAAGTGCCGACCCAGCCCCTTCCGCACAAGTCGCGCAAGCACCAATGTACTTCGCCGGGCAACCATCGACCGCAGCAGCGCATCCGGCCTCTCACATGCAACTGCAAGCTCAACCGGTCGCTGCCCAAGTACACCCTCAACCGCCTGGCCAAGCACCACAAACAATGGCAGAAGGGGCTTCGGCTCTGTAGGCGCAGCTCCAGGCTTTCCTTCAGCAGCTTAGCCAACCCCACAACATTTCAGGTACAGCCCCTTCGGCTCACCTGGAGGGGAATACAAGTCAAGGTGCGCCTAGTTGGTTGCCGTCGAATCGGCCAGGTCAAGGGGCTTCGCCGTGGAGTCAAGGACCGCAGTTCGACTTCATCAATGCTGCTCAGGCACCAACCATTCGGCCGCAAGCACCAATGTCAGGCTTCGGAGCAAACCAGGCACCAAACCAGGTCGCCATGACATGGTCACAGCCAACTTTCGACCCCTCCATGGTGGCTCAGCAAGCATTACCAATCGGAGCGGGGCAGCCGAATGCCATGGCCCAACCTCACGCGCAAGCCGTGATTTAGCCCTTTGCCACGCCGTACTCGCAGCAAGGTGCCGTGAACAGGGCGGGGGGCGAAAAGGGGCTACCGCTGAGTGGGGGAATCAAGAACCGTCCAATCCCACTCCAGTTCAAGTTCCCACCCGTCCCACGCTACTCAAGCGAAACTGACCCAAAGGAATTCCTCTCCATTTATGAGTCTGCGATCGAAGCGGCTCATGGCGACGAAAATACCAAGGCAAAGGTAATACATCTCGCTCTAGACGGCATCGCCCGTTCTTGGTATTTCAATCTGCCAGCCAATAGCATTTACTCATGGGAGCAATTGCGCGATGTCTTTGTCCTTAACTTTCTAGGTACCTATGAGGAGCCGAAGACGCAGCAGCATCTACTCGGCATTTGCCAGAGGCCGGGGGAGTCGATAAGGGAGTACATGCGTCGCTTCTCACAAGCCCAGTGCCAAGTTCAAGACATAACCGAGGCGTCTGTCATAAACGCCGCTTCGGCTGGTCTACTCGAGGGCGAACTCACAAGAAAAATCGCCAACAAGGAGCCACAGACACTTGAGCACCTACTTCGCATCATTGACGGGTTCGCAAGGGGCGAGGAGGATTCCAAGCGATGGCAAGCTATACAAGCTGAGTATGATAAGGCTTCCGTCGCCGCTGCTCAAGCCCAAGCACAAGTTCAAGTTGCCGAACCACCTTCTCTCACTGTTCGCCATCCCCAGCCAGCGATCCAAGGACAACCGCCAAAGCAAGGTCAAGCCCCCATGACCTGGAGGAAGTTCAGAACCGACTGTGCGGGCAAGACTGTGATGGCTGTCGAAGAAGTGCAAGCCCTCCACAAGGAATTCGATGCCCAGCAAGCAAGCAACCATCAGTAGCCTGTCCGCAAGAAGGTCCGAAAATACCTCTACTGCGCCTTCCACAGACGCTCTTCGCACACCACGGAGCAATGCCAAAACATTCGGCAACGTGGCAACGCGCAAGATCCAAGGCCGCAGCAGGGAGCAGCAGTCGAAGCACCTCGCGAAGTAGCTCAAGAATAGGCACCCCCTGCCGAACAGCGCCAAGATGCACAGCGCAGAGTAATCCAAGTGATTACAAGGGCTGACCCGCCAATCCAACTATCGAAGTGACAAAAGAAGATGCAGCTACGAACGATCCACAATATCACTTCGGCAGGCGAAGGGGCTCCACAGTATCTGAACCAGCAAATCTCTTTTGGGCCAGAAGATGCCGAAGGAGTAATGTTCCCGCATCAAGATCCTCTGGTGATCTCAGCCGAGATAGCTGGTTTCGAGGTCCGGCGAATCCTAGTCGATGGAGGGAGTTCGGCTGATGTCATTTTTGCAGAAGCATATGCCAAGATGGGGTTGCCCACCCTAGCCCTTACCCCAGCGCCAGCCTCGCTCCGTGGTTTCGGCGGAAAAGCAGTTCAAGTTCTTGGCCAAGCACAGTTGTTGGTAGCTTTCGGCACAGGTGAAAACAGGCGCGAAGAACAAGTATTGTTCGACGTTGTCGACATCCCTTACAACTACAACGCCATCTTCGGCCGTGCAACCTTGAACAAGTTCGAAGCTATTTCCCACCACAATTATCTCAAGCTCAAGATGCCCAGCCCGACGGGAGTGATAGTGGTCAAGGGGCTTCAGCCTTCAGCCGCTTCTAAAGGCGATCTTGCCATAATCAACAGAACAGTACATAATGTTGAGGCTGAACTGCATGACCGGGTGAAACACGCGCCAAAGCCTGCCCCTCACGGCAAGATAATCAAGATGCAGATTGATGACGCCGACCCCGCAAAGCTCGTATCGCTGGGGGGCGACATGGACGAAGAAGTGGCGGCAAGCATCCTAGAAGTACTCAAGAAAAACAGTGATATCTTTGCCTGGGGCCCCGATCAGGTGGGAGGTGTTTCGACAGATCCCATCATGCATCACTTGGCAGTTAAGCCGGATGCCAAGCCAAGGAAACAGAAGCTGCACAAGATGTCTGCTGATCGCCAAGAAGCAGCAAAAGCCAAAGTCCAAAAATTGCTCAAGGCTAGGGTCATCCAAGAGATCGACCATCCTGAGTGACTGGCGAATCCAGTGCTGGTCCGGAAGTCAAACGGCAAATGGCGCATATGTGTTGATTTCACAGACCTAAACAAAGCATGTCCGAAGGACGATTTCCCCTTACCACGGATCGACCATCTCGTGGATTCAACAGCTGGCTGCGAGCTCATGAGCTTCCTAGATGCATATTCCGGCTATCACCAGATCCACATGAACCCGACCGACATCCCCAAGACAGCCTTTATCACACCATTTGGCACCTTTTGCCACCTCAGGATGCCTTTCGGCCTGAGGAATGCCGGAGCAACCTTCGCCAGGCTGGTGTACAAGGTCCTGTACAAGCAGTTGGAGCGAAACGTGGAGGCTTATGTCGACGACATCGTCATAAAAAGCCACAAGGCTTTTGACCACGCGTCCGACCTGCAGGAGACCTTCGACAACTTGCGCGCAGCGGGTATGAAACTTAATCCTGAGAAGTGCGTTTTCGGCGTTCGCGCAGGCAAGTTGTTGGGCTTCCTTGTTTCTGAAAGAGGCATCGAGTTGAATCCGGAGAAAATCGATGCCATTCAGCAAATGAAGCCTTCGTCGAGCGTACGTGAAGTACAAAAGCTCGCGGGCCGAATTGCGGCACTCACTCGATTCCTCTCAAAGGCAGCCGAAAGAGGTTTGCTCTTCTTCATGACCCTCCGGGGCGCGGGAAAATTCAACTAGACACCCGAATGCCAAGCAGCGTTCAACGAGCTAAAGCAATACCTGCAAAGCCCGCCAGCTTTGATCAGCCCAGCACCAGGAAGCGAACTGCTACTATACCTAGCAGCTTCGCTAGTGGCAGTCAGTGCTGCCCTCGTCCAAGAAACAGATTCAGGCCAGAAGCCGGTCTATTTCGTCTCCGAAGCATTGCAAGGAGCGAAGACAAGATATATTGAAATGGAAAAGCTCGCTTACGCCCTAGTGATGGCTTCGCGCAAGCTCAAGCATTACTTCTAGGCATACAAAGTCATGGTGCCATCGAAATACCCTTTTGGCGAAATACTCCGAGGCAAGGAAGTTACTGGCCAGCTCAGCAAGTGGGCAGCAGAGCTATCCCCTTTCGACTTGCATTTTGTCGCCCGCACTACTGTCAAGTCTCAAGTGCTAGCTGACTTCGTAGCCGAATGGACACCAGCATTCGCCCTTGAGCCCGAGCCTGTCGAACAGCCCTGGGTGATGTACGCTGACGGTTCGTGGTCGCACAGGTGGGCAGGCATTGCGGCAGTGCTCACTTCGCCGAATGGTGTGCCGATTCAGTATGCTGCAAGGCTGCAGTTCGACACAACCAATAACGCAGCAGAATACGAAGCCATTCTTCTTGGCCTAAGAAAGGCGAAAGCATTAGGGGTTCGGCGCTTGCTAATCCGAACCGACTCCAAGCTAGTGGCAGGGCATGTTGACAAATCCTTCGAGGCAAAAGAAGAAGGAATGAAGTGGTATTTGGAGGCCGTTCGGTCCACGGAAAAGTGCTTCACCGGCATAACGGTCGAACATTTACCTAGAGGCCAGAACGAGGAAGCAGACGCCCTAGCGAAATCTGCTGCCTGTGGAGGCCCACATTCGCCAGGCATCTTTTTTGAAATCCTATACGCACCAAGTGTGCCTGTGGAAAGCCTGGAGGTCATGACAATTGACCAGGCGAAACTGGGCGAAGATCCATGTGACTGGCGAACATCGTTTGTGAAATACCTTGAAACTGGCTAGCTTCCGGAAGATGAAGCAGAAGCAAAGCGCTTGTAACTCAGAGCCACAAGGTATAAGATGGTCTCAGGTCAGCTATATCGCTCCGGGGTACTTCAACCCTTGCTCCGATGCATCTCTTCCGCCGAAGGCAAGGAAATGGCGAAGGAGTTACACCAGGGGCTTTGTGGTGTGCACCAAGCCGCAATAACAGTTGCCTCCAAAGTGTTTAGACAAGGAGTTTATTGGCCCACTGTGTTGAAAATCTGTGTTGAACAAATCAAGAAGTGCGAAAGTTGCCAGCGTCATGGCCGAAGCCAAGCCGCGCCCCAGTATGAGTTGCAGCCCATCGCACCAATCTGGCCCTTCGCCAGATGGGGACTGGACATCATTGGGCCGTTCCCGGTGGCGTGAAACGGGTACAAGTTCGCAATTGTGGCCGTTGAATACTTCTCTCGATGGATTGAGGCCGAACCCCTCGGAGCGATCACTTCGGCAGCAGTACAGAAGTTTGTATGGAAAAACATTGTTTGCCGTTTCGGAGTACCAAAAGAGTTTATCACTGACAATGGCAAGCAGTTCGACTCTAACAAGTTCAGAGAAATGTGCGAAGGGCTTAACCTGGAAATCAGGTTCGCGTCGGTCGCGCACCCACAGTCAAATGGGGCGGCCAAACGTACAAATGGTAAGATCCTAAAAGCACTAAAGAAAAGGCTTGAGGGGGCAGCGAAGGGCAAATGGCCAGAGGAAATGTTATCTGTTCTTTGGGCCCTTCGGATGACCCCCACAAGACCAACCAAGTTCAGCCCGTTCATGCTTCTTTATGGCGATGAGGCAATGACCCCAACAGAGCTAGGGGCTAACTCACCAAGGGTGACGTTCTCTAGGGGCGAAGAGGGGCGCGAGGTGTCGCTCGAACTCTTGGAGGGGGTAAGAGTCGAAGCACTCGAGCACATGCGCAAGTATGCCACAGGCACTTCGGCAACTTACAACAAAAAAGTTCGACCGACGGAGCTGTTGCCTGGTCATCCTGTCTTAAGGAAAAAGGCGAACCCGATAGCCGTTGGCAAGCTTGAATCGAAGTGGGAAGGACCATACCTCATCAAGCACAAGTCCAGGACGGGGTCCTTTCGACTGGCGACACTTAAAGGCGAAGAGTTCGACCATTCATGGAACGCTGCCTCTCTCAAACGTTTTTATGTCTAGAACGGGTGGCACCCAAATCGCCAACTTGTAAAAATGTATATATCGTTATGTAAGCCCTTCGGCACTATGTAAGCTTTTCGGAAAGAAAAAAAAAGAGGAAAATGAAAAAAGACAAAAAACTGGATGTAGGGCTATTATCCACCACGGAGGCTCGAACCAGTATAAAATCTCTGTCCTCTGCCCTCTTTTTATTTGTTTGTGCGATTGATAATTTGCGGAAAAACCCCAAGGCAAACGCCTGATCAGCGAAAAAGGCCAGGGGGGCGAAACGAATCGGCCGAAGCATCGCTCGCCGAACGATTGAAACCGCAACAGCTTGTTTCGGAGAACTAGTCGAACACTGTTACACTCGATCAAAAGGAAAGTACGAGTGCTTCCTACAACGTAGAACAAAGCGGATCGAAAATGAAAGCCGAATGCTGAAAACTCAAAACCTATTTCGCTAATATATGCAAAGGGGCCGACACGTTCCGACCCAACGAAAAGCACGCGAAGTGACAATGCAAAGATAGCGAAAAGGAAATAAAACGCACCTTTATTGATTTTAAATAAAAATGTATCGAAGAATACAAACCCATCACAATGATACAAGTGAAAGGAAAAGAGCAATGGCGTTACAACCCAGCTTGCAGATAAATTACATCTTCGCCCCCGCGATCACTCTCTCTCTCTGTAAGGAATAATCAGGCGAACTAGGTTCGTCATTACTACTAATATCATACACAACCCTAAGAGGAGAAGGGGGCGAAACACAGACTAGACTGTAACGACGCTGGGAGATCGCCTCCTGCCGATCAGTCTTCTGATGGTTTCGCCAAAAGCGAGCCATATCCTCCAAACGTCTTGAATGGACAAGATCGTAGTCTTCTAAGGTTCGCCTGGGGTGCGCCCGAAGCCACCCGACAACCTTAAAAACCTTATAGCTACGGCCGTTTATCACCATTTCATGATAAACAGGCCGAAATAGGCATCGCACCTTCGGCAAATCCTTAAATGCCACAAATTTCTCGTTTTGATTTCGCCAACTCTCAGAAGGAGGCCGGATGCACAACTTTCGACGAACACACTGGTAGACAGTGCAAAAAGGGCAAAAGACGAATTGCATAGTGAGAATAGGCCAAAAAAGAGAAAATATTGCATAATGCGAAATGGGTATAATCATAAATACGCCAAAGACTTCGACCACAAAAAAAGTGGCTAAGAGAATCATATATTCAAAATATCCAAGGGGCCATTTTTCGGCTACAATAAGGAGGGTTAGCGGCATCCTGCCGAATATACATCGTTCGCCATTCCCGACAAACACAAAAAGAAGAAGGGAAACTACAAAAATCTAAGGAAGGGGCGGAGGGCCTCACACCTCTGGGTGATCCTGGGCATCGCCTCCACCCCCTTCGGCTGTCGCATCCTCTTCTTCGCACCGGTTTGCCGCCTTTGCCTTCGCGAGTTGCTCCAAAAGGCGCGTCTTGGCGGTGGACCGGCCGTCTTTCTGCCAGAACTGTTTTCGCCATGCACGAAGCGCGGGCGAAATGTTCTGCGCACTGATCTCCCAGTCCCCCTTCGCATAGTTAGGGAACTCGGCGACGTGCTCGCAGCCGAACTGTTGCAGAAGGCCCATAGTAAAGGCCACCGATACGCGCGCACAGCAATCGCCGTACGCAGTGGTGAAGTCCGAAACCGAACCACCGGCCTGCTGAGTCCACTCGGAGAAGTCGAAGGCCGAGGCATCTTCGGCAGGGACCCCTCGCACCTTTGCACCCATGTCAGTAAGGGCGAGGCGAAGCGTTTGGCACGTCGTTCTCGCGGATTCGGTAGTTTTCGCCATCTCCCGCGAAAACTGCTGTGACTCCGCCGCAGCGTTCGCGTCGGCCTTGCTGACCTCCAGGCGAAGAGCCTCCATCTTTGGCTCAGTAAGATTATAATAATCCGTCAGCACGGCGGAATGGGCTTTTTCTTTCTTCAATTTGGCCTGGAGGCGATCAACCTCAGCTATGGCCTCTCTTCCTTTCTCCAGTTCGGCCTTGAGGCGATCGACCTCGGCCCTAGCTTCCTTTCCTTTCTCTAACTCGGATTGGAGCCGCTTGTTTTCGGCTTTCGCCTCTTTCAGGGTGTTGGCGAGGGCCTCCACCTGCAAGTTCTTGCGGCCTATTTCGTCATCCTTGGCCCGAAGACGGTTCTTGAATCCGTCAAGACGGGCCCGCACGGTTCACTCTGTCGAATAGTGAGCTACAAGAATCTGGATGCAAGGTAGGAATGGGCAAAGAGAACAAATGTTAATTATGTGACATGTAAAAAAGAAGAGGAAAATCAGGAAGAGAGAAAAAACATACCCGAACTGCCAAGCTTTTAATAGCAGAACACCCCTCATCGAACTCATTCAATTCGGTGAATAAGCTCAGGGTGCTGGCAGGTAAGACAAGATTGCTTACTCCCTCCACAAAGGGAATAAGGTCTGCCCGGGTCTCGAAATCGCCAGGGGCGAAATGGGGCGCCGCAAGGGAATACTCCGAGGCAGATGTTTCGACGGCCGAACCCTTCCCCTTCGCTTTGACTAGTGGTGAAACAACCGGTTGACGCAGAGGGCTACCGAAGATCCTCGCCGCAGCTGCCACGATTCGTTCCGCGGAGGCTGAAGCCCCGGCGGCGGCGCTACCGCCTGCCCCACCAGCGCCGATGGAAAGAATGGGGGCGGTCGAAAGGTCCAGGCTGCGGCCAGTGGGCGAAGTCGGAGTCTCTTCAAAAGACTCGTCGTCGCTGAAGACGCGAGCGACATCGACGAGTCCTTTCTTTTTGGAGATCTTTTTGACCGGACCTCCCTTCGCCGCCCGGCCTGCCGAAAACGCAATTAGCGCCTTCGCCCCATCCAAATCCTTTCGGCGAAGGGGGGAGCTGTTCGACTCCACCCCGGTCTCGTTGTGACCTGGACTTGGAGTAGGAGTGTAGCCAGGGGTGTCGACGCGGTTTTCGACTGCCCCGTCCGCGGCCTTTTCGGCCACGACCTCCGCCTCCTCATCTTCCTCTCCTTCCTCCTCGTCGTCACGCTCTTCGACGTCCTCCTCATCATCGGCGTCGGAATCGGACGAAGCAGGAACCCTTCGCTTCCTAGGGGCAAGCTTCACTTGCCCACGCGTTCGCTTTCGCGAAGGTCCTACATCGTCGTCCGCCTTGTGGGGGTTCACCCGTGGAGGCAATTCGCCGTTGTAAACCCGGTTCGCCTGGCCAGCTGCTTGTCGCGTCAGCAGCTGGCTATACTCGACGACTGACACGTCGCCGATCATCCTACGGGCTTCGGCGTCAGCCTGGTCGAGGGTCAACACTACAAAAATAATAGGTGTAGCCACATCAAGCGTCGAACAAAGCAAAATAACAAAAGCAGGAGTGCGTAGCGAAAGAGCACTCTTACCGTTCGTTCCCTCGGGGAGAACCAACTTCGGCAAACCATCAACCTCTTCGCCTTGATCTACTGCGACTTGCCATGATTGAGAGAGGGGAAAGATGCGAAGCATGCAGAATTCCTCCACCAAGTCGCGGCAACTAAGGCGGAAGCAAACCTTACGCAGCAGAGCGAATCACGCCTCCATAGCGCCGTCCACAGCGATCTTGGGTTTTCGGTTCGGCGCAATCGCCCTACGCCGGCACCGGAGGGCCTTCGCTGAGTCAGAACCAGCCTCGAAGGGGATGGTGTGGTAAAACCACCTCGCCATCCAATGGCGGTCCCACTTCGACATGGCGGCATTCACTGGCCAGAGATCGGACCGCTCGGGGCGAACATTAAAGTTTACGCTCCCGAACACTGATTTCTTCGTCCCAGCCGGGGTAATCACCGTCTTCGAATTCACGGTGGCGAAAAATATGGCGCCAAAAAGTTCGGCGCTAGGCTCAAAACTGGAAGTCCGGCACGCCCAGTCGAAGATAGCGATCCGGACCAGCGTCGATGGGCTTAACTGTGGGAGCTCTACCTGGAAAAGGCGAAGAATCTCCGGCAACAACGTGTTGCACGGAAACCGGAGCCCCGCCTCGAAAAACACGGCGAACACCACCGTCCAGTTGTCGACGGGCTTCGGTACAACGGCTTTCCCCGGGGCGAAAGCCTGTCCCTCGACTAACGCCCCAGAGCTGACCAACTTCGCCAGCTCACTGTCATCTATGAGAGAAATCCCTAAGTAGGCGGTGGTGTCGTCGTCAATCCGGCCGGGGTCAAGCCCTTTCGCCGAAGAGGGGTTAGGCTTGCGGGGAGCCATGACGAAGGATGTATGCAGTGACGAAGGGTGTGTGCAGTGGTGAACAAAGGAAACGAACGAAAGGTCTAAAGGGCCAAAGGGTGCCGTGAGAGCAAGAACGGAGGAAGAGAGCGCGAGCGGTGAAAGTGACAAGTCTGGTGGTGAAAAGAGGACGGGGGAGAATATATAGCCCACCCAAGCAACGGTTCACCTACCCACCAGTAATAAAGCACCACGTGTCGCGAGGGTAGGCGAAACGGTAAATTCCTATCGACCGAGCTACATAGTAAAAAGCCCACAAAGAGAAGGCCCATTACTGTTCCTTTCGGCCCGGGAAAGATAAAAATAATATACAACCGCCTGCAGGAGGCGAAGAGCGGCAAAACAATACCAGCCGCAAAGACAATAAACTTTATTTGTAGGAACAATGAAGGTTTTGGAAGGAGCATCGGTCGAAAGGGGGCGCCACATACCATACCACATGGTTTGCACGGTCTCGGCCGAAGCTCCAATCTCACCCTTGCCCGTGAGGGGCTTGTTGGCGGTATGGCATGAGGCCGTTCGACCAAAATCTGCCGAAAGCTATGCGAAGAGTGGGGATTCAAGCCCGAGACGTCAAAGTTAGTCGGGGCGAAGTCCCCACATGGTGAAGACTACGGAACAAGGACGACGAGAGGCAAGGGATCACGCGGGTACTCTGCCAAGCTAGAGGCCTCTTGGGCGAAGGATGCAGGGCGAAGAGTATATGCTGAAGGGGGACGACTTCGCCAAAGCAAAGCTCGGGCCGAAGAAGCCTTTCCGGCCCATCAAGCCTAGGGGCTGTTGGGCCGACGATCGCCTGACGACCCATCAAGGGCCCTTGAACCTCATTACACTATGTACTCATGTAAATGTCCCTTTCATAGGGGTAACCATGTAAATTTCCCTGTATAACCAAAACCCTAGTAGTAAGAACCTGTAATAGGGGCTATAAATAGTCTCATAGGGCCATGTAATAAGGGGATCCCAAGAAAAATTCTCTAATTAATACACTTTACTTCTTTTCCAACCATTGTTGAGTAACCACGTCTTTCGACGTATGCGGTTGTCGTTTCGACAACAGAGGCGTACACGCATAAATTGGACTGAAGAAGAGAATCTACACCTTCTTAGCTATTGGATACATTACTCAACTGATCCTGTAAAAGGCATCGACAGGAAATCAGAATTTTACTGGAAAGCTGTAGCTGATGTGTTCAACACCAGCGCGCCAACAAATGGACACAAGAGGTCAGTCAAGCAACTGAAGACACATTGGGGTGATGTGAAGAGAGATATAACAAAGTTCTGTGGAGTATATGGTAGACTTAAAGCTACCTGGAAGAGTGGGCAATCTGATGACATGGTCATGAACTCAGCCCATGCGATATTCGAAAAAGAAAACAAGGACAAACCTTTCACCTTGGAGTACATGTGGAGAGAGGTCAAGGATTTGCCTAAATGGTGTAGAATAGTCCAAGAGGATAGTGGAAATAAGAGGACCAAGGTTTCATCATCAGAAGCATACACTTCTTCATCTAACCAAGACACAGGAGGAAACCATTAGCAAAGAGAAGCGCCCTGATGGACAGAAGAAAGCAAAGGCCGGGCTAAAAGGAAAAGGAAAAGATGCTGCACCATCTCCTTTGGGCAACCAACCAAGTCAGAATATGATTCTATATCATGAAGCTATGTCACTTAAAGCAACAGCAATGATAAAATCAGCAAAAGAGAAGAAGTACCAGACTTACTTAAAACTGTTGGAGAAAGATACTTCAAACTTCAGTGAAGCACACCACAAGAGGCATGAAGGAGTCCTGGACCAATTAGCAAAAGAACTTGCTGGGGAGTAAATAATCAGCAAGTGATGCTTGTACTACCATTACCTATTGTGCTTGTCATATTTAGAGGTGTTGAAAGTGTAATTTTCATATTTAGAAGTGTTGTAAGTCTATTTGTAACCCTTAAGTTAGCTATTGTAACAGGTCGATGCTCTATATTGTATGGCCATGTTGTTAGTGTATGTGTAAGCCAAATTAATCATATTGAACAGTAGAGAAATCACCTTTGTTTATCCTTAGTTTTGATCCATGTCAAGGTCCATGACAGTTGTGGAACAGGGCATAAAGCAAAATAATATCAGTTGTAAAATAATATCAGTACATTATAACTGTTGTGGAACAGGGCATAAAGCAAAATATAGCTGTTGAGAAAAAGACAAACAAAGTACAGTTGTTGAGAAAAAGACAAACAAAATATAGCTGTTGAGAAAGGTGGCAAACAAAATATAGCTGTTGAGATAAAGCAATAGATAGCTATTGGTATTTAGCAGCTATAAATATGAGATGCAGTCTAGGACACCACTCCCTCATTCATACAACACACACTCCCTCATTCCAAAAAAGAAGATGTCCAGTGACTCTCAAGATCAATCTAGTCATTCAGATGAGTCTACAGAGGCTCAGCTTGAAGCTGAGCTTGAGGTAGAGCTTGAAGCTGAGCTGGGGGCTGAATTGGAAGCAGAATCAGCTGGTACCTCTATTCGGCGTGGGGGCTACACACGGAGGTACATCAATAGAGATCATCAAGATGATCACAACAGATTGTTTGCTAAATACTATTCTGCCAATCCCTTGTACACCGATAATCAATTCCGTAGGAGATTTCGCATGAGAAAGCATCTATTTTTGCACATAGTTGAAGCTCTAGGTGTCTGGTCTCCATATTTTTGTCTACGGCGAGATGCATTTGGAAAGGTGGGTCTATCACCACTGCAAAAATGTACAGCTGCCATCAGAATGTTAGCATATGGTTCACCAGCTGATCTTATGGATGAAACATTTGGGGTCGCTGAAAGCACAACACTAGAGTGTTTGATTTATTTTGCTAAGGGTGTAAGAGTTATATTTGGCTAACAATATCTACGAAAGCCTACTAATGAAGATATTCAACGTTTACTTCAAGTAGCACATGGGCATGGATTCCCTGGGATGTTGGGTTGTCTTGACTGCATGCATTGGGAGTGGTAGAATTGCTCAGTAGCATGGAAGAGGCAATTTACACGTGGTGATTATAAGGTACATACTATAATGCTAGAAGCGGTAGCATCTTATGACATATGGATTTGGCATGCTTTTTTTGGAGCAGCTGGTTCAAACAATGATATTAATGTTTTGGACCAGTCACCATTGTTCACCGAACAGCTACAAGGCAGAGCACCCGCCATTCAGTTCAGTATTAATGGGACACAATACAATATGGGATACTATCTAGCTGACGGTTTATATCCAGACTGGGCCACATTTGTCAAAACAATCAACAGACCTCTAAGTGCTAAGCATAAATTGTTTGCAGCTCATCAAGAAGGAGCAAGAAAAGATGTGGAACGAGCTTTCGGGGTTTTGCAAAAATGTTGGGCCATCGTACGTCACCCAGCACGGCTATGGGAATGGGAACAACTTGCAGATATCATGTATGCATGTGTTATTTTGCACAACATGATAGTAGAGAATGAGAGAGGCATCTACGACATACCCGATGACAACACATATGAACAAGGACATTCCCCGCATTTAACAGGACTTGATCATGGACCAGTCCATGGATTCTCAGAGGTCCTAGAAAAAGATATGGAAATTCGTGATCAACAAGCCCATCGTCGTCTGAAGGAAGATTTGATAGAGCATATATGGCAAAAGTTTGGTGATAATCGACAGCAACCATGAGAAAAAAATGCCTATCAGCCTTTTACTTTGCCAGTTTGCCTTAGCCATGTAATTTAGGATTGTCAGTTTGTTTTCCATAACTTGTATTCGTAAGTAGGATTATCGTCAGTACTTTTACTTTGTCATGAATCTTGTACTTGACTAGTTAATTATCAAGGTTCCTGTAAAAGGCATGCGTTTAATTGTCCTCATTATAGAAAATGAATTAAGTCTTACGTGAATATTCACGCAAAGGAGAGATGTACATATGAGTATTATTGAGTACTACAGGAAGCATCATGATAACAAAAAAATAATAAAAAAAAGAACAATTGACTACGAATAGGAAGGAACAATACCAGATGTACCCAATGGTCCAGGTGCATGCGTGCTGCAGCTTCTGCTCCGGCTACCCGTCGACGGTCATTCGCCTTCATCTCCATCTGTGCACCGCCGCAGCCTCCAGAGCAAATTCGCGAGGCCGTGGTGCCTAGATCTGAGCCCATCGTGAAGGTAGCCGCACTGAAAAAAAAATACATAAACGAGGAGTGAGCAATCCAGGGTGACGGAGGGGAAGACCAATGGGAGGAGCGATGCTGCGTGCACCTCAGGATATGGAGGGTGATAGAGATGGCTGGTGCGCTGCCGGCGGCGGAAAATAGCGTGTGCAGTGGCGGCGTGGGGACTTTAGGTCAGGAATTGGGGGGCGGCGGCAACGGCGGACAGGGCATGCGGCGGCGTGGGGACTTGTCAGGAATCGGGGGCGGTGGTGAGGGCTGGTGCGGCGGTGGCGGAGAGGTCGTGCAGCGGCGCAGGATGGGGCGAGATTTGGGGGCGGCGATAGAAGAGGAGTCGAACTCTCGAACCCGCGCGAAGGAAACGAGAATAAGTCGCGGCTGATTTTTTTTATCTTCAGTGGGACCCACCTTAAATTACTTACGTTATGGTGGTTTCTGTAACTATGGACTCCCATATGTGGGTCCTACATCTATGGACTAGTTTGCCAAATACATTAGAACATTATCAGCATACTATTAGACAGTGAGAACCAAATCAACTTTTTTTTTAAAAAAAACACAATATAATATATTGCATCGAGTGTACCATTGTCAAATGCACCAATTAGACTAATAATCATGAAACGAACACATCTATTTATCAAAGAAGAGCACAATTAATTTACTTTTGATGACTTAATCCTATCATGTATCACAAAATACTTCTGTTTTTTTTTCAATTGAAGAAATACATGTCACATGCCCACACCACAACCACCCAATCTAATCTAGTACCACCTACAAACACAAAATAGACGTCACTGTTGGCTTTGCATGTACAAAATATGACAGCTTTGCATGTACAAAATATGACAATCCTTCCAGTAGATTTCTCCATCCATTACGTCGAAAAAAAGATTTCTCTATCCAATGCAAACTATCCTACATATAGTTCTTCAACAAAATGTGAAACATTGCCACAATTGGTTCAGCTATCAGCCACATCCCACCTAGAAAAGACGTTAAACATAATAAGCACAAGGGGAAATGCTGCATAATCATTTTGTAACACCGAAAGTTTTTTTAAAAAAACTATCATAAGGAAAAGGTGATTTGTTTTTCTGAAGAGTGTAACTTTCTTGTGGTTTGTAGATCAAAGATAATTGTGATAGTAGCATTGATCAACTTTAGCTGCACACATCACTACATGAGATAGTACTAGCAAGTAGCACTATAATAAAGTTGCTACCTAAAGGTAATTGGCTCCCATCGTTTGGCCAAATACTAATAAGTACCGTATGAAGATCCTAGATGGTCATCACACATGTTCTAAAACTATTGGCTATATTACCATCATTGGCAGTGCAGATTATATGAGGTAGGGATCCAATTGTTAGAAGTCTAACCCAAGCATAATTCATAGAATTTCTTTTATTAATGGCATCATTTTAGGTTGCTTGTTGTTATGGAGATATATAACAAGCCAATCTTAGGAGAAGAAAAAAAAAATCTATTCTTGCCATTGAGTTTGTCCCAGTTCAACGATTTGCCAAACATTGTCTATTTCTACAATATACTGGTTGACTTTGTCATTTTCTCTACAATACACCATTGGGTTGGGTCTTTTTTTCAAAAATATCAAAAATACCCTTGAGACATGCAATATTAACAATCGAATTATCTTATTAGAAGTCTTAAAAAAATGTGATTTTTTATGTGGCCTCCTCACACAACATGAAAGTTTGTATTAAGTTTCAAGTTATTTGCATTTCTACTTTTTACAATATAATTTATCTGTTATATGCTATATAAAATATTTTTATTGTTTTGTTTAATGTAAATCATCTTTCATATGCTACATAGGACATTTTTGTTATATTATATTTTGTATAAACAAGTTCTCTCTTCTATACCACACAAGAATATACCTTTTGCATTTCTACTTTTTATATATAATTTATTTGTTATATGCTATATAAATAATTTTTTATTGTTATTTTTAAGGTAAATCATCTTTCATATACTATATAAGGTATTTTTGTTCTATTGTATTTTGTGTAAGCAAATTCTCTCTGTTGTACCATACAAAAATATTTTTGTACAAAGTAAACATAAAAGACTTGAAACTTATATTCAAACTTTCATGTTGTGTAAGGAGGCCACATAAAAAATTGTATTTTTTTAAAAATTCTAATAAGATAAATCGATAGCTAATTTTATATGTCTCTAAGGGTATTTTGGGTTTCTTGAAAAAAAAAGTTCTAGCCCAATAATGTATTGTAGAACAATTGATAAATTCACCGGTATATTATAGAAAGAGATAATGCTAGTGGAAAATCGTTGAAATGCGATAAACTCAGTGTCATAGAGTAGATTCTCTTGGAGGAGAATGATGTGGAAGTATGCTAGGCAAATTTAAGAGATAGGTGCATAACTAAGATTTTGTATTCACCATCGAAACACTGATGGTAAAAATTGCGAGTTTGCAACCAACCAAAATGTTAGTGTTATGTATCTGATGAAACCAAAATACAGCTACACATGCAACCAAATTGCAAGCAAATTATAATAAAAATAACCTTGTATTACCTGTACCAAAAATGCGTATGCTAGCGACCAGCGACAGATTCCTATTATCGCTGGAGCATTAAGATTTGAATGACGCACGCAATCATATACCTACAACTTCATGATTACACCCACGCTTTCTCATGAACAAACATATTGAATAAAACTATTTAACTGCTATTTACTTAGTTCGATGACCGGTACGATTTTCTCTATCATCAGGAGCTTTGACGTTATTTTATTTGATGTGATCGTGTGAGACGTACAATCGACCCGATTTCGAGGTATTTGTGTGCACTCTTTGCTTGCCATCAATGACAAAATCTTAAGATATGGGTTTGCTCTCTAGGACAATAGTAGGTATACACATATGCACATCCTCACTGAGGCTGCTCATTTCTATGCACCAGAGACTGCATCTTTCAACACATATATGTATCCTTGTGGAGCTGAGTGTGGTGCTCATGCGTTGTACCCCCACTTCTTTCCTCTTAGGAATTATACTTGGGATTGTTATACAAATTTTAAATTGCTCAGAATACTTTCTCTTTGGGCCATATTTGGGGTGTTGTTGGAGCTTCTCGCCTTCAAAAGCTCCTTAGTGGGACGGCTAACCTAGGAAACTAAGCTCCCTGGGTAGCTTAGTGTGTGCGGGTCTTGGTAGGAGGGCTCGAGCACTCCTACTTTATTTTTTTTTCTTTGTGTTGTGTTTTTTGTATTTGTTTTTTCTTCCCCTTAATGAAATGAAATGCAGCACTCCTTCGTTTTCGAGAGAAAAAAAGAATACTTTCTTAAAACAAAATTTCAACTTTGTTATAGTTAATTCATTTATTTATACCCTCAAATACTATCACAACATTGTAATATCGTATAATCATTATCTATCCATCTGTTCACCCATTCAGCCATTTCAAACGCACCCTAAGAGAAGATTAATGAGTCCTAAAAAAAGAGAAGATTAATGAAAGTACAACATGCATATCCAAACCAAAATAATGTCTACAATTATGCATCCAACAAAAGATGTTTCTAGGATTTAACCGTGTTATGAAAATATTAAATCAAGTTGACGGAAAAAGATATGGTTTGTGGAGAATGTAAAATAAAGGCAAAATCTTTAGACATATAAAGTAAATTAATTTAAAAGCAAGTAGAAAAAAAAACGAAAACCATCTCTTGCAAAGAAGGCAACAGATGTGGACCTCGAAGAGTGCACAAACAACCAATAAACAGGCACAAAGAAAAGAACTTCTGTGAAACCATGATTTGACAAGTTGCCCTAAGCTATTTCAGATCACCAAAGTCCACTACTCTTTGTTAATTTTCGCATAGTAATCAATCAGTGATCGATGACCAAAGGCTATGCAAAATGAAGTTTATTTCACAACTTCGTCTCATCCACTGATCCACTAGAGGTACTATAGGTCTATAGCCAAATTTTTCTATACATTGGACAAAAAATCATGAAGCATCACTGACGAAGTTGCCCAACTTTGACAACTGCATTATCTTTCTTTCCTGGAGAGAATTAATCTACTCTCTTTTTAGCACTTGATGTCTGCTATGATCAGTGAAGTCCTGAGTCAGTAGTTTAAAACTATTTTCTTTCTTTTTAGAAAAGTTGTGCCTTTTCCCCTATGGAGATCCCAGTTTGATCTACTAGTATGAACAGAAGATTCTTCTTATTATCTTTGAAAAGGTCAAATCAACTCAAGGATTGAATACCACTTGCAACTAGAACCTCAATTCCTATATACAGAGTCATTGTTCTCTGTAAAAAAGTATAGGGTAATTAGCACTCACTCCACATTAAGTAATTGTGCACAGGTTTTTTTTTCTCCCACCATCCACAATGGACTTATGTGCCTTATGTTAGTCAACCAAAAGAGGTATGATCAAGAAAGACAATGGGGGACAATTAGTTTTCTCTATTATTTTAAAGGCACAGTCGTCTTCCTTCCACCTCCTACTACGCACAACACGAGAAACTCCCGTAAAAAATGAACCTTCCCACTCTACTACGATAATTATTCACACGTAAAACTTAACCCACCAAAAAAGCCAGATAGAGAAAAATAAACCCTATAAAACCATTATTCTATATTCCTCTAGATCCCGTTACAACGCACGGACATAGCACTTGTGAAATTTGAACAGGTTAAATGTGGCTGGTGAAGATGCATCGACCAAAATATACACACAAAATTTAGCCATAGTATACTTCTTTCAACAAAATAGGGCCCTTTGGAGCAAAGATTTTCTTTAAAAAGAACTTTGGTAGAGCTTGAATCACTCGGAAAACATTTTGCTATATGCATGGATGTTTTGAACCGAGAAAAAGAATTCCTATAGGGTGGCTTCACCAGAAGAATTTCAAGGAAAGTAATAAATGGCTAACCTACTGAAAATTTTCGTTTGTGTATTTTTGTCTCCAAATTCTTGCACTTCCACTTGTGAAGCACCACAACATCTCAATCAAAACAATAACTTATGAGTTATAAAACTTTTAAGGACCAGTTAGGCATTTCACACAATTTCTTTTTTCCCCTCTCCATTCTTGCTTTTCCAGATTTTCCATGTTTCACAATTCACATGGCCCCTCAATCATTTTTCTAAAGATGTGTCATACATGACATCTTACTTTATATTTCTTATTTGGTGCCATTGATCAATACATAATGCTTACAAGCTACTAGGAAAGCTAAACCTATGGTTTAGAACATCAGACAAATCAAATGGAACATGCATGCAAGGTGCATCATTACTTGAATGGACCGTTCTTCTAAGGTGTCCCACTAAAGTTGTGCCAATGCATGCAATAAACTGACCACTTTAATCAATTGTTCATCTCCTTTTGTTGTCAAATTCAAACTTGACCTTTTGAATTTAAGGTGTCCCAACTTTCCTATGCAAAGTTACGAGGGAATTTCCATAATTTCTACTTGCAATTCTAAAAAATAATCTCGTGTTGCAGATGCGCCTAAATACGCTTTACACAAAAAAAAACAATGGAAAATAAAAGCAATGTGAAAAAACACCACAACCAAGTCAAGGAAAAACCATCAACCAAGTCTTAACCAAATACTCCTACCAAAAAACGTTTCAAAGATATCATGCCAGGTCAGACACCCGAATTCAACGTGGCCCCACCAGCCAGCGAGAGGGGTGGGCCCCACCGGCCAGTGAAGGGGATGGTGACTGGTGTCTGGTGAGTGAGACCAAAGACTCCAACAAGTCTACTACACACAAAAAAAAAATCAAAATCAAAACAAAATAAAAACCTCTCCATTTTTTTCTCCCCCATTTCGCCTTCCTTCCTCTCCTCGGGGTTTTTGTCCACAAACGAGCGGCTCGCCTGCGCCGCGTGGATTCCCCTTCCCGCCGATCCGGCGATGGATTCGGCGGCGAGAGCCTCGCAGTCGGCGGCGCCGCCGCCGCCCGGCGCCGGGGTCCGCGTCCGCGCCCCGCTGGTGAGAGCCTGACTGTCTCTCCTGTTCTTTTGTTTCTATACTAGTTTTTTTTTCTCGCTCATAGGCGCGGTTTTGTGGGGGGTTGGATTTGGGCGTGGTTGCGCGGCGAGGGGTGGAGAGAGGCTTGGGATTCCCGAGCGCGCGCGAGATGCTGGTTTGGGATTTGGTGATGGGAGGTGGGAGGGTTCGGTGGATTCCGCCGTGGTTGGGCGGTGTGGATCTGGGTTTTTTTTGGGGGGGGGGGGGGGTGTGGCTTCTTGGGAGGGTTACCGTGTTGTTGGGATGTGGGGGGAATCGGTGGAAATGAGTCGGAAATCATAGGCAAGTAGTAGATTTGCTGGTGTGGAATTTCATCGCGGTATCAGGTGCTACTCGGGGTTAGGTACTTGTGGTGGTGGTGGTAGTGATCTTAGAGCACTAATCTGTGGCTGGTACAACATGTTAGGATAAGATTCTGCCGGACATCATATATGTTCCTCGCAACCGCATTTCGGTATCCCTGGTTATGCATATGGAAAGTTTGCATGAGCAGATGGGCTTCTGCTATGCTCTAAAAGCTCCCTGTATGTGTGCAATCGATTAGTTAAGTTTCTTCATTTTTTTTTGGGAATGTATTCTGCTCAAGTAATGAGATGAACAAATGATCGGCGAGTATCTGTGAGTCTGGAGAATTTTGTTGTTTCTAACCATAATGTAGTTGTATAGCTTGGGCGTCCATTTTGGCCTTGAATTTGGCCAATTGATAATTTGGGTTGGAAAGTTGCAATTGTTCTGGTCAGGTCTTTAACTGTTACACTAAGCTCGTCCATACCGTTTCAAGTGTTCACACAGATATCTGCTAACTTAGGTAGGTAGATTAGTTAGTATCTTTAGCTTTCAACTGGTTTCTGGGCACTGACATCATGAACCCAGCTTCGCATTTCCATTACCATTTCTTGACAAACTTAACATGCTTATTGTGCTTAATTTTTTCTTTTGTGTAATGCTTTGTTTGTCATGAGCTGGTTTGTCCTGACTTGTGATTTTCTTAAGCTTAGTCTGTACCATGGTTTTAATCTTAAACTTCGCAGTTAAGAAAAATCTCAGCTTTTGATGTGCAACTACCACTCATAGTCTTGCTTTGTTGATTTTGTCTGCTACATGCCTGTAAATTATGGAGGCTATCCTGCAACCTTTTTTTACCCATATGTGCTAACAGTTAAATCTTATGATGTCGCTAATCCACATTAGCTTCTGTTTGGGTATTTAAACAGAAATTAGCTTTTGAAAATAAAAAAAATGGTTATAAATCAACAACATCATGTTGCAGTGTTGATCTTTGTAAAACAAGTTCGACAATCTCTCCAGAGTTTTTTAGTGATTAATTTTACTCAGGGCCATGTATCCATATATTTTGATCTATCTGATAACCTAGTGTAACCTGGACTATTAGAGTGGTAGTGTCTATTTTTCTCCATGTCATATCTCGCATAATAAAATAGGGTTGTGGTGGATTTGAAAATTGTTGCTGTTTCAGAGCAAATTTGATCTGCATGATATTTTTGTGGTGGATAAAATTATATGTTGCATGTGTTGGTGGACAAGTAGGCACATTCTGAGTGAATATGAGCTGTGGTTTTCATGCGTTGCAGTTTTTCCCCTTCTAGTACATTGATTGCTAATTTATATGTTGTATGGTTGCATTTCTCAGGTAGAGTCTGTCTCATGCTACTGCAGATTAGATACTGGTCTGAAAACTGTTGTTGATGCTAGAAAGTTTGTTCCTGGAGCAAAGATGTGTATGCAACCTGATGTCAAACCCAACAAGTGCAAATCAAGGGGCTCTCGTAAGGAGAGGAGCCGAACTCAAGCACCACTTTTGCCTGGTCTTCCTGATGACCTTGCTATTGCTTGTCTCATACGGGTTCCTCGAGTGGAACATCCCAATCTTCGGATAGTTTGCAAAAGATGGAACCGTCTCTTATCTGGGAATTACTATTATTCCTTGCGCAAGAGAAACGGGATGGCGGAAGAATGGGTTTATGTCTTTAAAAGGGACCGTGAAGGAAAGATATCCTGGCATGCCTTTGACCCACTGCACCAGCTATGGAAGTCACTTCCACCAGTTCCAGCAGAATATTCAGAAGCATTAGGCTTTGGCTGTGCTGTTCTGAGTGGTTGCTATCTGTACTTATTTGGCGGTAAGGATCCTCTGAGGGGCTCTATGAGGCGTGTTGTATTTTACAATGCTCGGACAAACAAATGGCACCGAGCTCCAGATATGTTACGGAAACGACACTTTTTTGGTTCTTGTGTCATAAACAATTGCTTGTATGTTGCTGGTGGGGAGTGTGAAGGAATACAAAGGACACTCCCGTCTGCTGAAGTTTATGATCCAAATAGGAACAGATGGGCCTGCGTTGCTGAAATGAACAATGGGATGGTACCTTTCATTGGAGTTGTATATGATGGCAAGTGGTTCCTGAAAGGGCTTGATTCCCATCGCCAAGTGACGAGTGAAGTCTACCTACCATCATCCAATTTATGGTCAACCATTGATGATGAAATGGTTACCGGCTGGCGGAACCCAAGCATTACCTTCAACGGAAAGCTCTATTCATCTGATTGTCGAGATGGCTGCAAGCTTAGGGTGTATGATCCAAACACAGGAACATGGGCAAAATTCATGGACAGCAAGCACCACCTGGGCAGCTCGCGCGCCTTTGAAGCTGCAGCGTTGGTTACATTAAATGGGAAGCTTTGCATCGTCCGCAACAACATGAGCATCACCCTGGTTGACATCTCCGACCCAACGATGAGCATTGAGACTGACAGTGCACGCATGTGGGAGACTGTTGCTCGGAAGGGCCAGCACAGGTCATTCGTGGCAAACCTGTGGTCGACCATCGCAGGAAGGAACCTGAAGAGTCACATTATCCATTGTCAGGTTTTGCAGGTTTGAGGTCAGCCTGTTGTGAATCTGAACATAAGCAGACTAGTAGAAACAATCCCTCCATTGAAAGGTCAATTAGATTCCATACCGAAATTGTGGCAGAAGAAGCTCATTGCCCAAACAGATCTTTGTTCATTAGATTACCAGAAAACACCAATTCAGTATTCTGGAAATTTGAAGCTACTCATAAGGTAGGAGATGGATGCCGAAAACTTTTGTGCAAACTGGAAACTGAGAAGAGAACTTCCTTAATAGTTGCGGTGATAGGGGGGAGAATATGCATCGGTGGATAACATTTCACTAAGTTGGAATATCCATCTTCAGCCTCTCACTGTCACTGATCACTGTACTTATCTATGTTGTATCATGCCCTCTTGGCATACTGCTTAGTGTGCTTAATGTTGGCTCTATGTTGTAGCGGCAGATTAGACTTGAGAGTAGAGAAGTAATAAGCCTATTGGTTACTGTACTTGAAAAATCCGTATGTCCTGGTATCATGTGCTGTAAATCTTCGTAATTACCCCTCCAACTCTCCAAGCATTTCATTGCACCAATCCTGTTTCTCTATTTAATTTAATGTTTAGATGATTTGAGCTGAAATGAAGATACTATGATTGATTGATTTCTATGTGATTGGATCTGATGTGTACTAGAATTTGTAAATGCAAGGATTTCAAATGGACAACAATTGTAGGCATACACTTCTATATATACAAGCAGCAAGCGAAGAAACTATTTATGTCACTCTACACCAATTTGGCATTGGCTTGAAGCTTTACTCCATATTGAGTTTCAAATGTGTCTCCAATGTTCTACTCTTTAGGCCAATTCCTATGTCTGTAAATTTCATAAAATAAACTCTGCATTCAAACTATTGGAAAAAAAAAACAGATTCAACATTCTGCACTTAAATACAAACCAATCATATAAAGTAGGGAAAATTGTAACATTGGGGACTTGATGTTGGTGTAGAAAGGCTCTCACCAGGAGCCTATTTATCTCTGAAGGACTTTGTGTTGGTATTAGGCTTACATATATAGCCCCAAGACACAGGGAATCCGTATGGAAACATAATTCATGACACTACTTGAGAAACTACGATGCCTACCGTTGCTTCGAGCCAACTTCAAGTAGTCAAGTGTAGGGTTGGGAGGCATTTGGAAATCACTTGTGACATTTTTGTCGAACCACACTATCGAGATTTTGATGAGGAGTTTGTTGGTCTACAAGTGTGCAAGCAGCTTGTCTGAAGACAAAAGAGAGTCTAGCTGTAGTGACTAGCTCGCTCCACGCTGCCGTATTCAGTCTTTTTTACACCAAGGTGAAATCACATCTCGTTGTATGTATGTGATTTAAATAGTTACATAAAAATTTCATAAAATTTGGCATGATAGATTGTGATGATATAAGTACCTATGCAAACATGAATGCAAGTCTAAATTCAAACTACACATAAAGGAAAAAACAAATTTTATTTTCAAAAAAACATGAGTTCCCAACTCACCTATGCTCGTACGCTTTTCAAACTACTAAATGGTACGTGTTTTGCAAAAAGTTTTTATTTAACAGTTGTTTTAAAAAATCACATTAATCCATTTTTCAAGTTTTTTTAGCTAATATTAATTAATCATGCGTTAATCTATCGTTCCGTTTTACGTGCAGAGGGGAGGGGTTCCCAAACCCTTCGAAAGAACACATGTACTTCAATCTGGTCAGTTTGTGTAAGGATTGGTCGAGTAGAGCACCGAATTTGAGTAGTGGTTTGTCAGCTCGAGTGAATGTAGTTTCAGCTTGTGAAACATTTAGTAAAATGTTAGTTTGAGGGGTCAAACGGTGCCTGATTGGGCTGATTTTTGGATAGCTTGGAAGGGACTCATAGAAAAACATTTTTTCCATGTTTCGTGTAATTTTCTTCCGTAGTTTGGGAGATATTAGCTGAGAACCGAAGGGGACAGAATCTGCTATTTCTTTACTTGTTTTCGTTATACCTCTTAGTAGTGGTTGTGGTTAATATTGATGATGCTAAGTTTGTAATTTGATGATAGCTGCTGTTGTGATGTGCCTCTAGATGTTCTAAAGAAAACTCATTTGTACCAATTATTGATTATAGTGGAAGCTTGGAGTGCACCGTTGTCCACGTGTTTATTGTTGTTCCGTTGTTGATTTGTTAGTTGAAACTATACTTAAAGTTCATGCTAAAATGGGGGCTGATTGTGTGAAATATGTTTGCCAGTCGATGAATTGTAATCTGCACATTGAAGTTGATTTGGTTAAGCCCCAACAGTTTAGAGCATATCCAACAGCCTCTCCAAATCGAACTCTCCAAACACCAATATAGCCAACTCTCTATCTGATTTGGTTAGTCAAACTAGTTGTTCACTCCAACAGCCTCTCCATCTACCCTCTCTACTTTGACTCTATGACACCGGCACCCATATGTCAGCCTCTCCCTTCTTCTTTCTCCTCTTCCTTCCCCTCTTCCTCTTCTCTCGCTTTGGCAGGAAGCAGGCGGCGGCGGCAAGCAGGAAGGGGACGGCGGCGGTGGGCATGGCGAGGAGCGAGGCCCGAACGGCAGACGGCGCCACCGCGGCCACGGCCGCGGGAGCAGTGGCGGCGGCGGCCGTGTGGTGCTTGGATCGTCAGCGGTCGTGCCGACGATGGCGTGGAGGACGGCGGCGGTTGTGGCTGGCTACGACGTGGAGGATGGCAGAGGTCGCGGTGGGTAATGGCGCCGAGGACGGCGGCGGGCGACGGTGCCAAGAGCGTGGAGGACGGAGGCTGCGTGAGCGGAGGCAGCGGGTCGTGCCACGTGGAGGATAGCGGCTGCGGCTAGCGGAGGCGGTGGGCGCCTTCTGCGGAGGACGGCGGCTGCGGCGAGCGGAGGGTGGCGGTCGCAGCGAGTGGAGGCCGGCGGCTGCCGTGCTTGAGCTCCTCCCCATGCCTCCTCCTCGTGCTCCTCCCTGATTGCTGTGTGGGGATGGAGGAGATGGGCTGTGTGGGGCCACCATTGGCCAGTCAAATAGAGTGGCTAAATTTGGCTAGTGGAGGGAGGGTTTTAGCTAGTCATATGGCTTAGCCATCCGGTTGGAGAGGCTGTTGGAGCACGTTTTTTTGGCTCGAATGGCTAAAATTTGGCTTGAAGAGTGGGATGGAGAGGCTGTTGGAGATGCTCTTGACATATTAGGCTTGAGAGTAGTAGAAAAGTAAAAAGGCCATTGCTTACTCTACTTAAAAAAATTATATGGCTTGGCATTATCGTGTGCTGGATATCTTCATAATATTTAGCATAAGGATTAAGGAAAACTGGTGTCCATGTAATTAAAGCATCCTCCAATCCTCCAAGTATTCATTGAGTTAAATCATGTTCTTTTATTTAATTAGACAAAGATAGTAAAGTTCTTCCTCTGGACATAAATATTTTACATTTCGGATAGGATTTGGTTAAACTTTTGAAACTTTAACTATTTGGACATGTGGTGTGGCTGTTCATTTTGCACCCTTTGTGTATTCGAATTTGTGAATGAAAGGATTTCAAATGGATAATAATCGTAGGCATACACATCAATTATTTATAACAGGCAACCAACTGCTCTTCATGTTGTACAGTAGCACTCATGCAAGCAGAAAACAAAGAAGCTCTGGACACCGCTACAACTAGCCAGGAAGCCAACGCGGTTGCGAGGCATGCAATGCGCTTTAACTCTCGACGTGGAGCATAGGCAGATGGCCTGCGTTTTTTTTTTCAGAAAATTTCTATACGAAAATTACTTAAAAAATCATATTAATTTATTTTTAGAAAAAATAAATACTTAATTAATCATATAATAATAGGTGTTTTGTTTTGCGTGCTGGGGAGGAGGAGCCCCTCCCGAACACAGCCTTAGACAGGAGTTTAAAGAAGTAATAAGGCTATTGCTTAATGTACTTTCGAAGTTCGTATGGCTTGGTACGATGTGCTGAAAATCTTCATATCATTGGCCGTGCTTAGTTCCACAGCCAATTCTTTTAAAGTATACGGACACATATTTAAAAGTATTAAATATAGACTAATAACAAAACAAATTATAGATTCCGCCTGTAAACTACGAAACAAATTTATTAAGCCTAATTAATCCATTATTAGCAAATGTTTACAGTAGCATCACATTATCAAATCATGACGTAATTAGGCTCAAAAGATTCATCTCGTAATTTACATGTAAACTGAGCAATTGTTTTTCTCTCCATATTTAAAGCTATATGCATATGTTCAAATATTTGATGTGACAGAATTTTTGAAAGTTTAAAGGGAACTAAACACAGCCATTGTTTGTTTTTGAAACGTCCATGCGTGGAAGTACATTGTGAGCAAGTCTTCTGGTGTCATGGGGACTTGACTTTTGGTAATAGGAAGGCCTTCACAAGGACTCTATTTATCACTAATCAAGTTTATGTGTTGGTTTTAGGCTTCCTCTGTATATGCAGCCCCAAACATAGCTAATCACATAGTGCAGATGCTCTTCAAGAAAAAACACACAAGAACAAGTCAAGTTCAAGCAGGAGTGCAATCGGTCCTTGAGGAAATACCACATAAACTGGCCAGCACAATCTCGGTAGCATAAGGAGAAAACAAAGTCACAAGTAACATCCAGATGCCTCCCAACTCTATACTTGACAAGTTGAAGTTTTCTGGAAGCAACATTTGACATCGTAGCTTCACAAGAAATGGCATGACTTATGGCTCCAAATGGATCATTTTCCCTGTGTTTGGGGATGAGTCTATGAACACATAAACTCCCTTGGTGATAAACTGGCTCCTTGCGAGGCCTTTATAATCTACTTCGTTTCACAATGTAAGTCATTCTAGTATTTCTCACATTCATATTGGTATTAATGAATCTAAATAGAAATATATGTCTAGATTCATTAACATCAATATAAATGTGAGAAATGCTAGAATGACTTACATTGTGAAATGGAGGAAGTATAATCAAGTACCCTAACAACCAAAAGACCTATATATCAGTGTACTTATGGTCATGTTTGGATCTCACATCAAAATTTTACACCCTGTCACATTGAACGTTTGAATACCTACATGAAGTACTACCTCCGTCCCATATTACTTGTCGCTTTGGCTTTTTTCTTGTAACGTTTGACTATTCGTTTTATTTGAAAAATTAGTGCAAGTATAAGAAATGATAAGTCATACTTAAAGGATTTTTGATAATAAAACAAGTTACAAACAAAATAAATAATAATTCTATTTTTTTTTGAATAAGACGAATGATCAAATATTATAGACAAAAACTCAAAACGACAAGTAATATGGGACGGAGGTAAATATAGGCTGATAAAACAACTAATTATATATATTGCGACTAATCTGCAAGACGAATCTTTTAAGCCCTATGATTTCACAATGTGGTGCTAAGTAAACATTTGCTAATGACGGATTAAGTAGTCATCTCGCGGTATACTGACGGATTCTTTTATTAGTTTTTTTATTAGTGCCCGAACACCTCATACGACACCCTATATAATATCCGATGTGGCACGCCAAAACTTTACACCCCTAGATATAAACAGCCCTATGTTGTTTGCAAGCAACAAACAGTAGCTAGCTGGCTGCGTTGAGGTAGGAGTGTA